CCACGTACCCTCCCCCATTTGCACAGTATTTAAACTATACGAGAGAAGCCATCAGAGCAGTGCAAGTCTGGAGACTGGCGTTTCCTACCCCCTTCAAAATCATTTCCCGTATTTCCTCCCACCCCAGTTCCAAGTTCCTGCTATGTAGCTATTGCCCTCTAGTTCTCCATTAGTTGTAAAATCCACAAAAGCCAAGTTTGCAGCTTCCAGGGCTTGTGCTGCTCAGTCTGCAGCACAAGCCCTGAACACCAGACAACAGCACCACAAGACATGCCTGGCCCACCTAAAACCAGTGAAGAAATGCTCTTACCATAGCCACTCATGCTGCTTTGACCTCCGTATCCTCCTCCGTAACCCCCACTCAGCTGCTGGTTAGCGGGGCCACCATAACTGGATTGGCTTCCTTCAAGTGGAGGGTAAAAGCGGTAAGAGCTTGCCCGTCAGTTTGCTCCTCATCAACAAACCCACCCTACACCTCGCTAGCAGCCCTGTACTTTGGGCACTAGCGCTCTCTCTCACTCGGGAAACCTTCTTCCTAAGCCTATTAGAGGTAACAGGCTCAAAGGAAGCCATCAGGTTTCTAAAGACATTCCTACAGTCAAGCAGCAACAAGAACTTCAAGAATTACAGTTCTGCAGTAAGTATCCATGGACTCTGTGTACCAGGACTGATCTGCTGTTGGATGCAATATACACCCCAAAGACTTAAACCTGCCCAAGGACAGGACCCAGCCCTTTAGGAGACACCAGCTCATTCACTAGAGTCACCAGTTTGTGCAGTCCTGACACACTTCTTATTCCTGATCCAGCCTGGCTGAGCACCTCAGCAGCACCCCAGCTCACCGCACAAGAGACCTCTGCTGCTCTTCACCCCAGCACTAGGTCCATCCTCCCACAAAACCTTTTGTAGTTAGTATCAGCATTACACTTCAAACATTTTGTAACCAAAATATAACAGAAGTAGCAGCATATCTAAGCACACACACTCCACCCACCACCCTCAAGAAAAGCCTCCCAAAACAAACCACCACTTCAATCTCTAAGAAACCAGACCACGTGGGTATCAAGAAGGGTATCTGCAATGGTGGCAGTCACTTAGGTTTGTACTGCAAATATAAGTTAATCTTCATTGTTTTTGTTTTAGATATCTGTCTTGGGTTACAACATGTAACATTTGGAGTTTGCTAGAGGAATTAAGACAAATTTCTCCAAATTCCAAACAAATATTTTTCTCTCACCACCAAGACCAAGCTCAAAGTGCCACAGATACATCTTCCACCACCACACTATGTTCTGGTCCCAAAAAAAAAGGGGAGGGGAAAGACAACAGCAGGACAGGCATCTCCCACTTTCATACCACCACACTCCCAGGAGCCACTCATCCCACCCACACACACCACACCCAGCACCACAGCTTATTCAACCTATTAAAAGTTCAAAGTTATTCCCAAAAAGTTTTATATACCTGCCAACGTGCTAGTGTTCCAATCTTGGACTACCCCTTCTGATTCCTTGACTGTGTGATTTAAGACAGAATGTTGAATTTCAGTTTTTATGCCAGGCACAGAATAAACAGGAGCTGTGCAAAATTAGCCAGCTTCCGTAAGTGTCAGTACTTGTTCAGAAGAGCAGTTATCGACTGCTCACACGTACCCATCGCTCCCATCATCTGACTGCCGTAGGCACCACCACTTCCACCTGCTGTAGAATTCAAGAAGAGTTCTACATATCTGTGTTCTGAAAGAAGAAAATTTTTGCCATGAGAGCCTTTCACAACAAATCCACGCTATTTCTCTTACTGCAGCAAAACCCGGGGCACTCGTGAAAGCAGAGGTATCGCCCTGCAGTGCTGCATTTTCCCTAAAATCACATACTCAGAAGCACCGTACTTACGCATGTTTGCTTTGTCTTTGGACATAGCGGCCACTGCGTCCTCATGAGTAGCAAATTCAACATCTGCCTCGCCGGTTACTCTGCCATCTGGTCCGATTTCAATGTGTACTCTTACAGGGTTCAGAGGTGAGAAGAACTACATACAAACAGTCACAGAGATTAAAACGCACCGATGCAACAACAGTTGGGTTGTACAGCAAATCTGTTTTTTCTAAAGAACACTCGTTAACTGCAGTGCAGCTGATGTGTCCAAAAACCACCACAGAATCAATCTTAAAACACACATTTAAGAGGAAACAGCAGATGGGGAACTCACGTTGTAGATGTCATTCTCCGTGGCTCTGTAAGGCAGACCTCTCATGTGGACGCAGTGGCCAGTCGTGCTCTGGAAGGTGGATGTCCCGTCGCCGTATCTGTGGTCCGACATTCCTGCAGAGAAAAGAGTCCATTCTAGGTCTTTCAGATGTATTTTAGTTTCTTTTGGGACATATTGAAAGTTCAGTTACAGTTTCTATTAGAGATAACTCACCTCTTCCAAATCTATCAGAACCAAAACCATAGCCATCATTATACCCATTGTAGTCATCATAACCTCCATAACCTATAAATAGATTGGACAACACGTTCATTTCAACTACAGAAAGATCCAAATACACACAACACACTGCAGGCAGACAGTCGGTATTACAAAGTTTCTTTTCTCCTAGAAGAAACAGCGCCAAGGACATATACAAACCAGCAGTTACAAAGCAGGGGAGACACTACCAGGTCCAAGTGTTGCTGCTTCTCAGGTGAGCAGCTCCCTCTTGGACTTTGCGTACTTACCTCCTCCGTAGGCTCCACGCCTCATTCTTTCCAAGCTACTTCCTCTACCAAGACTGTTGTATCCCCGCGTAAGACCAGGTCTGTCGTAAGGACCGGGTCTCTGCATTGCCAACAGCTTGCGTGGAGGGTCGTAGTGAGTGCGCACTTCCGCTCGACTACTCTTGAAGATCTCAATGTACCTGGAAGCGTTGCCACAGGAAGAAGTCAGTCTTCAATCCCTTCCACAAACACCTCACAACGTCACATTAAAACAAGCCATTTAGTCATAGCCTCGAAACTGGCACTGTATTTTTAAGCCAGGTTTCTTTACGTTATGTAGGCAATGACATACTATTAGAAGCACTACATTACTTTCAAATCAGTGTATTTTCAAGAAATTACAATTACTGAAGGGTTTACATGCTCCTCATACTTCACAGTATCCCAGCCTTAAGGGTGGGGGAGCAAGATTGATTCCCCACCCTCCTCCCCCCAATTTAAAGTGTTAGTCAAAAAACGTAGGAGGGACTGACGTCCGCTCAACTCAGCACGGCTTTGCTCATGTGGCAATGTCAAAAGAGGGTTACAAACCCAGCCTCCGCCAAGCTTTTAACCCGTCGGGATGCTACAAAAAGCTCTGCATGTGCTAGTGAACCCAGCCTATGCTTCAGTGATTCAGCGTAGGCAAAAAGTGCATGCTTCAATGAAAAATAGTCACAAGTAAAATAGAATAAAAACCCTTTGTGACAATTTCTTGAAAGCTATGCTTATTATGTTGAAGATTAATACAGTAAGAAAATTTGTTACATTTCAACTTATAAAACAAGTTTAGAAAGCATCACTTTTTCTTATGGTAGTAAGAGTACTGTGCATGTCTTTAGAGCTAAAGTCATAATTGGTGCTATTTGAGAAGTTAAAGCCATAGTCTCTCAACTTTGATGCTCTCAAGCTGTAAGTTTTGCAGTCCTTTGTTATCATCCAGTTTTCAAAGCACACTCGAGCTTAGCCAAATTTTATCTTTCATTTTAAGCAGATCCAAACAATCTGTGCCAGTGGCACATCAGCAATGCCTTTACTTGTCAGGGTCAGAGACCAAAACACTGTTTCTACTCAGATGTTAACGCTTTCAGAAGAGAGAATATGGATTTAATTGTTTACCATAAGAAAAGTGACAGAGCCAACCAACCATCCATCCCCACCTGTGCCCTATTCTTTCCTTGTGTTTCTTTAGAGCCTTTTCAGCTATTTCCTGTGAAGCAAACTGCACGAAGGCCTCCCCCGTACTCCTCCCCTGGAAGTCCACCGGCAATGTTATCCCATTTGGCACGATTTCCAACCCTTCAACCCAAGGACAAATAACCCCAGTAGGGGGGCAATATTAACATCACAAGCCCAGTCATGAGTTTTTCTTATAGCTTTAAAAACACCAGAATTTTAACACTTGTAAGTGAATGGTATGTTGATTCTAGAATACTAGAAGAAAAAGCATGTCAACAAAGAGAGATCCATGATCACATACCATTCAGTCCACATTCTTAACCCACCCTGCAGAGCACAAAAACGTCCTGAGGGTCAGGGACAACTCCTCAGATAAGGCATCTAATGCAGGGTGAGTTAAGAAGTTCACACATTATTACAAACCTCTTCAATTCTGTGAAAGTATTTAAGATGAAATTTTCAATACAACTTAAATTCAAACACAGCAAGTTAAACAGCTTTACATAACAAGTATTTTCACTAGAAGTCACTCAGATAAAAAAAATTAGTCTTATGCAAAAATCAAGTTTCAGCATTATTTTTTTATCTTTAGGAGCGCTTAATTAAGAAAAAAATCATGAAGTAATTTCAAAAGTATTAGTTTCTGAATAGAAGAGGCACATTTTGTATATTAAGCACATTAACAGTTTTTAAAGCTTGAATCACTTAACCATGTAATAAACAACTTTAAATGCACATGCTTAGGAATTGGTCTTGTTCACAATGTATTACTGATTCAGAAAACAAAGAACAAGTTCTGAAATTGTAAAGATTGGAAGTATTTCTACTGTATTTTAAAGCAAAACAGTAAGCTCAGACATATCTTGTTATAATAAAACATTTCAGCTAATTAACACTCACATTTAGAAGTCTACTACTTTGAAAATACTAACAAGTTAAAGCCTAGATAAATAGACAGATTTCATTCTTAGGCATTTGTAATAGTATTCCAGTTCCTAAAAATACAACAGCTGAAAAAAAGTGAGAATGAGTCAATACAAGATATTATCTCTTCCTCCATAAAAACCTGAAGCTAGGCAACATCAAGGCTGGTTTTTTCTCCTCCCAGGAAGCAGTGGGGGAAAATCTGCACTTGGATCGAGTTCAGCAAGCTGGGTTTTTTTTTCCTGGAATATTTTTCAATACTAAACCTACATTTATAAGAAATCACAGACACAATGCAAGGCCTTTCCTCAGATACTGCTCCTTTTAGTGAGCCCAGCAGTAAGGGTGTTCTGCATCCTTTACTGAACAGCGTGAACCTGCTAAGACTGTGGGTAGAAATACCCTCCCATCTGAATTGTTCACTTCTAATTTAGAAAGCAAGGCACTTGTTTTCTGCTACACATACTTGGAACAGCATGTCTCACTAAGGATAAATCAGAGCAACTTTCTGGAGTTCCCTCAATTATTAAACGAACTTGTACTTTAGGAACTGATCCCTTGAGCCCAGATAACTAAGGAAGAATTGCTGATTTACTTTTAACACCCACGAGTATGCTGTTGGAGGCACTACGGGGCAATCCGTCCTGGTTTGGTTTGCTTGTGGTTCTTTTTAAGGATAACCAATACTGCTACAGCTACTACTTTTCCCCCACATACCTGAAAAAAACTGTACAATTTCTTCTTTGCTACAGCCAAATGGGAGTCCTCTAAGACGTACAAAACCATCATTAGCTGTATCAGGGCTGTTGGGACCAGTATGCTTCAGAACCCAATCCATTTCAACGTTGTTTGACTTGAAAACTGTAAAAGGCACTTAGAATTAATGCATTCTGGAATACACCATAGTTTCAAAGTCATCTGCCTTCAAACTAGTCACCTTAAGGCATACAAGTCCATTTGTCCTTTCACATGCATTTTACAGAGACAGAAAAGCAATTAACCAAAAACCCATCAAGCACAAAACACATTTAGTCAGTTACTAGACCAACTGAATCAAACCTTCAACATATCTGTGTCCCATTGTTTCTCTGTCTTTTTTCAGTGCCAATTTCACATCCTCCTCTGATTCGAGTTCAGCAAACGCTTCCCCACTTGGTCTGCCCTCCCTGGTGTAGATGAAACGAATACCCAAAGCCCCGTTTAGAATTTTGCAATCTGAAAAATGAAACAGGAAAGGCAGAATTAATTTCATTTTTATAGAAACATCACAATTTTCAAACACTCTAAGAGGAAAAATGAAAAAACAACTATCAACTTACATCAAGACAAAACCAGCAGTATTCTTGTTATAACTTTTATAGTAGCCAATAAACTAAGGGACTACCTAAATCCAAGTTAGCTTTCTTGTCAAGTCTGATGTTTAACAAAACGTTGAGGATAAACACAAATTAGCTATTTTCAAAGCTCTCCTGCCTCAAGTCAAGTTAAACGTGTTGTCTGCTTTTGATCATAATCTAGACTTTCTCAGCAGCATGAAGTGAAATAAGTAGTACTAACAATCAATATAAATACAGTGAACTAAATTAGAACCAAGTCAAATATGCCAAAATCCCAAAGGAGCTTTAAAGTCTCCAGTCACTGAAGAAAGCGTGTATTTATCACCACTATGTATTACTGCAGGACAAGAATAACTTGAGAAAAGGACATGACATGCTAAACATATAACACAAAGAGAGTCTATTAGGATAACACCAAGAAATAAACTGATTTAGTTCAACCTCAAGCAAGAAATTTTAAGTTTTCTTTAAAATGGAAGCTTCTCTCTTCTGGCTGCTCAAGAAGCTAAGGCAGTCGTGGCTACTCCAGCAACTGGCAGACTAAACTGCTTTGTATCTAGTCCCTACCAGCAAACGCACAGCTTGCCATACCAGGACCTACCTGAGGCACTTACTACGTTACTGACTTCACTAGCTACTGAAAAGCTCTGAACGCTTTCTGGAAGTGCTCACTGCAAAAAAAAGGAACCCAGGAGGAACTCAAAATTAACAAAGAGTCCAGTCTCTCTCCCAAACCCCCATCACCCCATTTCTGCTTACCAGAGAAGAACCTCTGCACCTCCTCGGTGGAGCAGGACCAAGGCAGCCCCCTGACTTTCACCACATATCCCTCGCTGCTCTCTGTATTGAGCATCACGTTGGGGGTGAGGCTCGTCTCCGTCTCGGTCTCCGTGGTTGCTGGAGAAGACCAAAACAGGCCCTTTGAGAGGCCGCACGGCACGGCCGCCACCCGCACCCCCTCAGAGCGCCCGGCGGCCCCCCGGCCCTGTGCCC